TTTTTTTTTTTTTTTTTTTTAAACACTTGTTTCCAAAACAAAGGGTAATTCATAAGGTTGTCATAATCGGTATATTAAACGTCTATGGTATGCCAACCTGTCTCTTGTTTCTGTCTGTTCTTTTGGCAACAGAGTACCTAGACCAAGACTTTTACAGGGGTGGTCAAGCGACAACGGAGAGTGATATCTATAGCTTTGGGATAGTCATGCTTGAAACGGTGTCGGGGCATGGGCCGAGGGTGCCCAAGGCAGGAACGCCTTCTTCGACAGATTCCATTCTAGCTTGGGTATGTGCTCTTCCTGTGCCTCTCTGAAGTGTGTGCGCGTGTGTGTATGCAAGTGTGTGCAAGCGAGGACGAGAGTACGTTAGTGTCCCGGTGTGTGTGTGTGTGTGTGTGTGTGTGTGTGTGTGTGTGTAGATGTGTGTGAAAACACATGTTGCGGAGGCCTCATCGCGTAATAAGTACATGCGCCACCTCACCGTCACCTCACAAGGTAAAGCCCCATAGGATTCCTCAAAATTCCAACATCCATCGTATTACATCACACCTCACAACAACGGTAAAAGCAGGGAAAAGACCACAGCAAGCCGCAAGGCAAACAGCACAAAACAGCAAAGCGGGTGGGCAGGCAAACAGCACAAAACAACAAAGCACACTGAGTGAAAGACGGATGGGCAAGCAAACAGCGCAAGACAGCAAGGGAAACGACAGCAAGACAAACGACGACAGTGCAAAAACAGCACCCGAAAAAAATACAAGTATAAACAAGGCAACGACTGAAAAAAAAATAAAACTGATGATGAAAGATTGTTTCGTCGGAATTGCACCGACTCATCCGGAGGCTGAACCCTCGACAATCTGCGGAATGCCCGTACTAGATGGTTTGGGTCATGCACCCTTTTGACCCTTGTTGAAGGCAGACTGTCCCCAAGTAGAACATAGCAGCGGGCAGCAACCCTGCGGAGCACCAGGCAACGCAGTAGAGGCAACATGGCTGCACAACGCCAAAAACGACTGCAAGGAACGACACGGCACGCCGAACTCGCAGCAGGGCACCCAAGCAGTGAAGCACCGGGCAACACCACCAAGACAACCACACTGCAAGGGACGAGAGGGCAAGCGGACAAGCAGCAGAGCACCCATGCTGAGGAGCACAAGGCGACCCCAACACGGCAACCAAACTACAGGGCGCGCAAGCAAAGAACCAGGAAGGCACGACCAGCGGACGGGCGGCAAGGCAGCGAAGCAGCGAAGCGCAAGGCAACACCACAACCCGACCAAACCACATAGCGAAGACAGCAGCATGCCAAGAACGACCTGCGAGGCAAGCGGAACGGGCAGCAAGGCAGTGGTGGAGCGCAGACGGGGTCGTCCACACATCCAACACGGAGCAAAGCAGCACATCACCTACTCACATCACGGGTGAACCCCACAGACTGTTGGTTCCCACCACCCACTGAGCCAGGGAGACACTCCGACGAGCATCCGTCATCACCTACAGGCAACACAGACATCCCGAACTGAGCGGCCCCCATAACAGTGCAGTAGGCACTCCAAACGAGGAACCACCGACTGTTTGGCACTACTTAAGGGTGCTCAGTTGGGTAAGAGGAAAATACTTAGAAAAAGATCAGGGGGAGAACAGACAACAACAGAAAAACAGAAACAAATAACTGATTTTGTGTGTGTGTGTGTGTGTGTGTGTGTGTGTGTGTGTGTGTGCGCGCCCACTTGTGAGTTAAGTGATTGCTTCTGGATCTCGCCTTGAATCCAACCTTGCCTTGTGCATCTGTCTCTGTCTCTCTCTGCCTCGCTCTCTGCCTCTCTCTCTCTCTCTATATATTTGTTGTCCTCTTCTCCCTCTCTGCCTACGGTTTACCGGGCAGTTCTATTTGACGATATATATACATATATACATATATATAATATAGATACATATATATAATATAGATACATATATATCATATATATCCAGATATATATAACGTACCATGGGCCACGATGTCATTTTTTGTCTTGAAGCTAACTTGATGTTTTCTTTGGCACAATACCAATTTTCTCGGCATGTGGTTTTGGTGTTTTGACATTGTTTGTTGTTTTCCAGGCCTCAAAAAAAATCAACAGTGAGAATGTGAAGGATGTGGTGGATGTCAGGTGCCCAGACCGCGATCGCGTCAGCGTCGACAAGGTGAGGCAGTTGGTCGCCTTGGCGCTGCAATGTTGTCACGAGTCGAGGGCTCAAAGACCGAAGACGGTGGAAATTGTTGATGCACTGGAGAGGATCATGGAGTGAAAGTTAAGGCCATCTTTGGTACTACACTCTGTTTGACGATATATATATAAATATATATAAATCATATTATGTTGGAGGATGTATATATATAAATATATATGTTTGACGATATATATATAGTCAAACAGAGCTGCCCGGTAAACCGTAGGCAGAGAGGGACAAAAGGGAGAAGAGGACAACAACGAGAGAGGGGCTGTGACAACGAACTGTTTCGTCGGAGTTTCACCGACTTATCGGTAGGCTGAACCCTAAACTCCGACGAAACGGTTTGTCACAGCCCCTCGTTTGTTGTCCTCTCCTCCCTCCCCTCCCTCTCTGCCTACGATTTACCAGCCAGCTCTGTTCGACGATATATATAGCCTCTCCTGATGAGTCGGTGAAACTCCAATGAAACAGTTTGTCACAGCCCCTCGTTTCTTGTCCTCTTATCCCTCTCTGCCTACGGTTTATCGGGCAGTTCTGTTCAGCGATATATATATAGCCTCCTGATGAGTCGGTGAAACTCCGACGAAACAGTTTGTCACAGCCCCTCGTTTGTTGTCCTCTTCTCCCTCTCTGCCTACGGTTTACCGGGCAGTTCTATTTGACGATATATATATTATATATATACTGTTATCACGAGGACGAACGCACCCTGGAGTGAAAAGTTAGGCCGTAAATTTCGAAACACTATCTAATGGTGGGCGTACGCACCACGGGACTTTTCTGGAACATCTGGCCCCAGTTATTACCAAATTCAGTGTAGTCACCCCTGGGATTTTTCTGGACGTATCTGACCCCATTTATGACTAGATTCAGTCCAGAAAGTCCCACTGTCAGCATGGCCTCATTAGGCCCTCATACATTTGCACGCGCACACACACACACACACACACACACACACACACACAGAGTGAAAGTCCGACGAAACAGTCTGGTACAATCATGCTTTTTGTGAGTGTATAGCGAATATGACACCACACACACACACACACACACACACA